TGCAGACGTTGTCATCTTCTCAAGCATTACAATTTTTTGGTAAGTAGATGTTTCTCATTGTCAATAGCTCCACCGCTTTAGTTCATCTCTGTTTTTGTTTGCCTAGTTCTAATCTATCAACTTTCTTAGCTAAATGTGAATGTATGCGAAGTGGACTACGCATCTATAATGTCATGTCTTCGTATGAATGAGGAAGCTCTAGTACTATTGATAGTGGATATCACCGATATTCCTGGTAGTATACATCGTCAACTACCTCATATAATTGGCCCACGCAAGCCAATGATTGTTGTTGGTATGTGTTGATTTGCTAACTTATCCCAAGTATTGAGGTGAGAATTCCAGCCAACAAAGTTGATCTCCTCCCACCAGACGCACGAACTGGTTATCTTAAGCGTTTCAAGATGATAGTGGACGAAGCTATAGAAGCAGCCGGCTTCCGAGACCAGTTCACCATATTGCATACAGCGCTAGTTAGCGCTAAGACAGGTTATGGAATCGAAGACTTGATCACCGTGTGTATTTATCGTTCCTTTCATGATTTTCTATGAGTTTATTTTTCTCATGTTTTTGTTTAGGAAATCTATTTGAAGTATACTTCTGTCAAGTTAGGTTTGCGCAATGATATATATCTAATCGGATGCACTAACGCGGGAAAATCGTAAAATTACATTGTCACAGCACTTTGGGATTGTGTGCAATTTTTTTTGATTTTTAGGAGTATATTCAATACTCTTCTGCAGTCAGACTTATGTAAAATACGCGCTGTTGACATTGTGGAGCGGGCGACTACATCTATCTGGCCTGGGACTACGGTATGTCTGTGATGGCGGTATGATGTTTAATAAGCGTTAGCATAATTTCAGCTTTCGCTGCTGAAATTTCCAGTAATGCAACCTTCGCCTTTTCGTTTGGAGCTGCGGCGAAGGAGACTACTTAGAAATAAAGCTTGGCTCCAGAAAGAGATGTATAACAGGTGTTTTTTTGTTTGTTTTTTTGCTTTTCGATCTTTTTTTCCTCAAACTCGAGTTTGTAGGAAACTACAGCTACAGCAGAGTGGTGATCCGAAGTATGCAGTATTGTTTGGCAATGTTGAAAACACATTCAAAGTAAGTACAATCGTTTTTTTTTTCAAGAGAACATGAAGCTGTCCAAATTCCTTTTTTTTTTTTTGAAGGAGAGAGATGAGGAGGTACGACCTATATCTGTTGAAGATCTAACAACGCATGAAACTTCAGATAGGAAAACTTCGAAAAGGTATCTTTTGAATGCATGTCCTGTTTCTATTATAAGGTTGGTTTTCCTGAAAAATATAACCTCACTGTTCAAGTCATTTAAAGTTCTTTCATTCTGTTCTCGAGTCTTTCGCAAGTTCCACTTTATCTTCATCTCACTATCATTTTTTTAGTTTTTGTAGATCATTTTACCATACTTTTTTGTGTTCCTACCTCAATTTCCTTTCATAGATGGTCGATAAAAGATCCTGAATTTGAAAAAGGAATGTGGTGCTACGATACGCCAGGAACCATAAATGATCAACAGGTATGTCTTTCTTTGTGCAAACTCATGGTAACTCTATTTGGCGTTGTCTTCAGGTGCTCAATCTTTTCACTTTGGAAGAGCTTATACATGTATTGCCGCGGCATCTGCTACGACCTCGGACTGCTATTGTTCCAGTCGGACATTC